TAGGAACCGAGACACCGCTCCTCTATCCATCTCCAGGTGAGTCTGCCCACATGCAGATACACCCACATACGAGTACCTGTTGTGAAGACTGTTACCCATGCTACGCCATGCTTCAAGACAAAATTTCATTTATTTGAAATTAAAAATAAATATTTCACAATATATAATTATATACTGTTTTGTGATTAATCACTATGCTTTAATTATGTGCAACCTGTAACAATGAAAATACATCCTGCATATCAGATATTCACATTATGATTAATAACAGTAGAAAAATTACATTTATGAAGTAGCAATAAAAATAATTTTAAAATTGGGGGTCACCACAACATGAGGAACTGTATTAAAGGGTTGCAGCATTAGGAAGGTTAAGAAACACTGTTCTAAGACTTTTCATATAGATAGGCTTGTGAGAACAATAGCAAACTTTGAAGAACAACATTGATGAAGAATATTTCATTGCAAAGTAGTTTACAAATCAGCTGTGGCGCAGACATCAGCTCTGTGATGTCTAAGACATCAGCTCCCTGATAACCTAAGGGCCCCATCCTTCTACTAAAGGTAGTATTGTACCGGTAGGGTTTTCTGTAAAGGGTATGGAAATCCAGCACCTCTTTTAACTGCCTAGGAAGGATACAAGATTTTGAGTAGTCAAGGAAGGGTAGAGACTTGATACTACTTCTCTATAATCGTAATAGAATATAAATCATAATATAATATAAATCGTATAATCTCTCAGCCTTTATTCTGAAAGCATTTGGGTAATTACAATTTAGTGCACCTAACTCTACTACCCTTGCCCATCAATTTAGTAATCTTTCTAATTCCCTGAGGACAAAGACCATTTCATTGTGCTTTGCTTTACATAACATCAGAGACAGAGAAATTGGCTGCCATTGAGTCAAGACCGATTCCTAGTGATGATACAGAAAAAGCTAGAATTGCCCGTGTGGGTTTCTGAGACTAAATTTTTCCAGGAATAGAAAGCCTTAACTTTTCCCCACAGAGAAGCTGGTGGTTTCAAACCGCTGACCTGCTATGACACCAAAGTTCCTCAATAATCGCTTGTCTTTGGGTGGGGGGGGCGTTGAGGAAGGGAAAAACAAGGAGTTGATACCAAGAGCTCAATAGAAAGTAAATGATTACAAAATAATGATGACAATGTATGTATAAATATGCTTGAAACAACTGATGTATGGATTGTTATTAAAACTATAAGAGCTCTCAATAAAATGATCTTTTAATAAAAAATAGTTTCTTGTTTCAAATTACCATATTTTAAATAATTAAAAATATTATTAGATTTTTTAGGAGTCCTGGTGGGACAGTTGGGTAAACAATGAACTGCTAACTGTAAAGCAGGTGGTTCAAAAGGCTCACAGCAGGAGAAGAGTGAAACTATATACTCCTGTCAAGACTGACAGAGTCTCAGGGGGGAAAAAAAACAAAACAACAAAACCTGTGTAGGGTCACTATGAGTTGTAATGAACTTGAGGGCATTGGGTGGGTTGGGATTAGCATTTTGTGACTCTAATCCATTGGGTTGGTGTCTTCAGGAGTTTGCTTTTTTAAAAATCATTTTATTGGGGGCTCAGACAACTCTTGTCACAATCCATACATACATCCATTGTGTCAAGCACATTTGTACATTTGTTGCCATCATCATTCTCAAACATTTTCTTTCTACTTGAGCCCTTGGTATCAGCT